TTCATTCAGTTTTCCCACATGTGTGAAAATATGTGTAAAATAAACACCTACAATTGTAATGACTAATGCTTACTGAAAACCTTCTAAGAACCCCAGGTATTTTATACTCACTCAGTGATTTGATCTTCTTAGCTTTTCTTGGAAAAAGATCTTATGTCCATTTCATTGATGAAAATGCTGAGGGTCTAAGAGTTTCATTTATTCATCCAAAGCTGTCCATTTAAATAGTCAAGCTGAATGAGCCTGCGATTTTCCTGCTAGTCCTTGGATGTGTGACTTTCAGGAACACAGTGAGAACTGATTATTTCACAAAGCCCTTGTTACGGTGAAATGTACTGGAAGAGTATGTGTTGCATTTTTGTTACTGCACATTTAGACTCTATAGGAAATAGTTCTGGACACATTTTTGTTTTAATAGTTGAGTATAGTGTTTTTAATATGCTTTGATACTAGAGCAACAGTACTAAAGAGGATAATACAGAAACTATTCTGTCCATGTATCCTGAGCACTGTTGCTAATGAGAAGTACAATTGGAGATACCCAGATAGTGGGGTATATGGTTCTGATTGTCAAATGAAGGGGTTAGGACTGGAAGTGTAAATTTGGAGTCATCATTATACAGTTTATATTTAAAGCTGGTAGGGGTAGGGAGAAGTGATCCCCTAAGGATGATATTTCAGAGATGAAGATGTAACTCTGGAGATCAGAAACAGTTAAAGCAGGAATGAACAAATAATGAGGAAGACAAGAAAAGGAGAGTATGATAAAAGAAACCAAGTGGAGAGTGTGAAGCAGTTGAGAGATGGGAGATTATAAACAGAAGTTACAAAAACATCATAAAGGAAAATCAATTGTTATATAAGGTTTCTGAGGAAGGCTCAGCACATAGGTCCTGCAGTACCATGGAAAGACTAGCTCTTTTATCAGAGTGGAGAAAACAAGCTAAGGATGGATGTTAATGTAAAAGAATGTATGACAAGAGGACACCCAGAAAATTCCTTTTGATTTCTATATTTCCCTCTGGTGTAGAAGTTGAGGTGTATTAGTTTGGTAGGGCTGTCATAAGAAAAATGAGTGGCTTACGCTAACTGCAATTTATTTTCTCACCATTCTGGAGTCTTTCATTCTGGGGTCAAGGTGTCAGCATGGCTGACTACTTCCAGAAGCTTCTGATTGCCCTGTAGATGGCCATTTTCCTCTGGTGTCTTCTCATGGTCTGTTCTGTCTTTTTTTATAAGGATACCAGTTGTACTGGATTAGGGCCTACCCCAATGACTTCATTTAACCTAAATTACCTTTTAAATTACCATCTCTCTGTAAATATAATCAACATTCTGAGGTTTGAAGCTTAAGACTTCAGTTTATGAATCTTAGGGGTGAGGAGCATAGTTCAGCCATTTGCTGAAAAAGTGACGAAATGTTATTTCATAAAATGCCATAAGAAAAATTAAGAGATGAATATCTAGGTGAAAATATATTCAACATGTATGTAAGATCTGTAAACAGAATTTCTACATGGGAAACACCCCATGTGAAAGAGCTAAAGTTAGAAAGAAGGAAACATTTTGACATAATTAATCGTATTAATTGTCATTCTTTATGTTTTTTACTTTCTGGTTCTTAAGAAAGCCTTATTCTAATTCAGCTTTACAAGGATATTGTCCTAAATTTCTCCTAGTACTTTTCACAGACTAAAAAAATTGAGTATGCATGGAATTTATTTCATTATACTGTCAGAAGTAGGGTTCAGTTTATTTTCCGAATATATCACTTATTCAAACACTGTTTATTGAATGATTTGTCTTTTCTTCATTTTTTGAAATATTATGTTTAGTAAATATTAAAATCCCATATATTTAAAATCTAAATCCTATAATTTAGACTCTAGTCCTTGGATAGAACTATAATTTTAATTACTATAGCTTTATAATAATATAAGATATTATTGTAACATTAAAATATATTATTATAATATAACATTATTATAATAATATAAAAGCTTTTATAATTTAATTACTATAGTTTTTATAATTTTTTTGTGAGAAATCCTGGTGATCAGATGTGTGTCTCTTGCCCAGAATGTTTCGCCATAATGTTTAGTGGGCATTTTGCAGTATCCTGTTAACACACACATTACTTTGATAGACACACTAAGTGGTATATATATAAACAGTACATAATCTCATACTAGAGTGGATCAGGTTTTTCTTCTAAATGAGTTAAAAAGAAGAATTTATCTTTTTTTAAAATTCTAATTAAAACTTTATAGAAGAATTTATCTTAAAGAGATTTTTGGATTATAAATCTGTAATTTCTCTTGCTGTTTGGGGATATACCTTCCTTTTTTGTCCAAATGTTTATGATTATTTTGGTTATTCTTGAACCTTTACTCCTCCATGTGAATTTTAGCTTCTGTTTTTTTGAATTACGTGAAAAATTCTCTAGAGATTTTCATTGGGATTGTGCTTAACAGTTGGGGAAGAACAGCTTTATGGGGTTTGTCTTCATGTCTGTGAACATGGATAACTTTTCTTTCAGGTACTTTTTCATGTCATTCAGTAGTTTTATGTTTTTTTTTTTTTTCTTTCTCAAAAATGTTTGAAGCTGGACATGGTGGCACACACCTGTAATCCCAGTGGCTCTGGAGGATAAGGCAGAAGGATCACAAATTAAAAGCCAGCCTCAGTCAAAGTGAGGCACTAAGCAACTCAGTGAGACCCTGTCTCTAAATAAAATACAAAATAGGGCTGGGGATGTGACTCAGTGGTTAGGTGCCCCTGCGTTCAATCCTCAATACTGCTACACTCCCCCAACCCCCTGCAAAAAAAAAAAAAAAAAAAAAATGCTTGAAATCTTGTTGGATTTATATCAAAATACTTTTACAGTTTTGTTGGTATTGTGAATGGAATTTTTTAAAGTTTGAAACTACATTTTTAAATTGTTGTTGCCAATATCTAAAAGTATTGATGTTTATGAATTGAACATCTTCCTTACCAGTATGTTGAGTTCTGTTACTGGTTCTGATAATATGTCAGTTGATAAGCTTGTGTTCTTTGTTAGAAAATCATATTCAGGGTTGGGATTGTTGCCTAGCATGTGTGAGGCACTGGATTTGATTCTCAGCACCACAAATAAATAAGTGAATAAAATAAAGGTCCATCAACATCTTAATTTTTTTAAAAAAGAAAAATCATGTTCAAATATTGAGCTTTATTTCTTTTTTTCTTTCATTTTTAAATTTTTTATCATTTATTTTATATGAGTTCTCTTATTATTTGCATTACAATTCTTTTTTTTTTTTTTATTGGTTGTTCACAACATTACAAAGCTCTTGACATATCATATTTCATACATTAGATTGAAGTGGGTTATGAACTCCCAATTTACAATTCTTAATACTCCTTTATACCACAATTTATCATATTTCTGTCAAGATATGTTGACATTAAATTTACATCTTCCTACATGTATTTTGTACAGCGATGAGGGTCTCCTTCCACCATCCATGCAATTCCCCTCTCCCTCCTTTTCCCTCCCACCCCTCTTCCCTATCTAGAGGTAATTTTCTTCCCATGCTCTTCCTCCCTATCCATTTTGAGTTACCCCCTTGTATTAGAGAAGACATTCGGTATTTGTTTTTTTGGGACTAGCTAACTTCTCTTAGCATAATCTGCTATAATGCCATCCATTTTCCTGCAAATGCCATGATCTTGTTATTTTTTAGTGCTGAGTAATATTCCATTGTGTAAAAATGCCACATTTTTTGTTTTATCCATTCATCCACTGAAGGACATCTAGGTTGGCTCCACAGTTTAGCTATTGTGAATTGTGCTGCTATAAACATTGATGTGGCTGTGTCTCTGTAATATGCTGTTTTTAGGTCCTTTGGGTATAGTATGAGAAGAGGAATAGCTGGGTCAAATGGTGGTTCCATTCTAAGCTTTCCAAGGAATCTCCATACTGCTTTCCAAATTGGCTGCACCAATTTGCAGTCCCACCAGCAGTGTATGAATGTAACTCCCCCCCCATCCCCCCGCCCCCACATCCTTGCCAGCACTTATTGTTGTTTGTCTTCATCATGGCTGCCATCTGATTGCTAGAGATGATGGGCATTTTTTTGTATATTTGTTGATTGATTGTATATCCTCTTCTGAGAAGTGTGTGTTCAGTCCTTGGCCAATTCATTGATTGGATTATTTGTTTTTTGGTGTTTATCTTGTTGAGCTCTTTATATATCCTGGAGATTAGCGCTCTATCTGATGTGTGAGAGGTAAAAATTTGTTCCCAGGATGTAGGCTCCCTACTGACCTCACATATTATTTCTCTTGCTGAGAAAAAACTTTTTAGTTTGAATCCATCCCATTTGTTGATTCTTGGTTTTAATTCTTGTGCCATAGGCGTCTTATTAAGGAAATTGGGGCCTAGTTCCACGTGATGGAGATTAGGGCCTACTTTTTCTTCTATTAGATGTAGAGTCTCTGGTTTAATTCCTAGATCCTTGATCCATTTTGAGTTAACGTTTGTGCATGGTGAGAGATAGGGATTCAATTTCATTATGTTCTATATGGATTTCCAGTTTTCTCAGCACCGTTTGTTGAAGATGCTGTCCTTTCTCCAGTGCATGCTTTTGGCACCTTTGTCTAATATAAGGTAGTTGTGATTTTTGTGGGTTAATCTCTGTGTCCTCTATTTGTACCATTGGTCTATTGGCCTGTTTTGGTGCCAGTACCATGCTGTTTTTGTTACTATTGCTCTGTAGTATAGTTTAGAGCTTTATTTCTTTTTTTTAATCTTAAACTTCTTTTTCTTTTTCAGTTGTGTGGTATATGGTCTTGAGACACATAAAACATTTTTACAGTGGCATTTACTGTGAAATACATTGTGCTGTAATCACATTTTGAATTCATGAGTATATAAATGATAGAAGGGGAAATGGGAAGTTTCTGAGAAGGGGAATATTTATTATAAGAGGATTTAATGTGTGATCTTTTCTTTACAGATATGGTGTAAGATATTCAAGATTGGACAGCTGGTGACCTGATATTTCTGATAGCCTTAAGCTGACTTACAGCCATAGAGAAATCTCTCCGTTTTTGTTTTCTGCTTTACATCTTTCGTGGCACCTAAGTTCACCTTGCAACCATGTATGGAAGTGCTCGCTCAGTTGGGAAGGTGGAACCAAGCAACCAGAGCCCTGGGCGTTCACCTAGGCTTCCCCGTTCCCCTCGCTTAGGTCATCGTCGAACCAATAGTACTGGAGGGAGTTCTGGAGGCAGTGTTGGAGGTGGCAGTGGGAAAACCCTTTCAATGGAGAATATACAATCCTTAAATGCTGCCTATGCTACATCTGGCCCTATGTACTTAAGTGACCATGAAAATGTGGGTTCAGAAACACCAAAAAGCACCATGACGCTTGGCCGTTCTGGGGGACGTCTGCCTTATGGTGTTAGGATGACTGCTATGGGCAGTAGTCCCAACATAGCCAGCAGTGGGGTTGCTAGTGACACCATAGCATTTGGAGAGCATCACCTCCCTCCTGTGAGTATGGCATCCACTGTACCTCACTCTCTTCGTCAGGCAAGAGATAATACAATCATGGATCTGCAGACACAGCTAAAGGAAGTGTTAAGGGAAAATGATCTCTTGCGGAAAGATGTGGAAGTAAAGGAGAGTAAATTGAGTTCTTCAATGAATAGCATCAAGACCTTCTGGAGCCCAGAGTTGAAGAAAGAGCGAGCCCTTCGAAAAGATGAAGCTTCCAAAATCACCATTTGGAAGGAACAGTATAGAGTCGTGCAGGAAGAAAACCAGGTTAGTTTTATATGTGTTGTCTGTCTTTATTGGCTGAATTCATGTATATGAATAAAATGAGTCAGTCTTTTTTTTCCGCTTGTTAGTTCATTTATCTTTCTTAATCCTATCTATTTTAGTATTTTCTGTCTTTTCTTTCTCAGCCTTTTCCAGATTTGCTTTTATGTCTGCTTTTCCCCCTTATTACTTGTTTTTCTTCAATTCTTTTTCACTTACTGTATTTTTTTTAAAATACAAAAATACAATATTCTCTCAATTCTGTGAGAATAGAGTATTGCCACACATTCTAACATCCATTACCAAAATTATTTTGATTATTTAAGTGTAAAATATACCAGTAAGATTGGTCATAATGTAAAAAAAAATCAGTCTTTTTAAAAACTATCAGAAGTAAGCCAATATGTTATTAAAGAACAGATATTACTTTTAAAAAATTAATGATGTAAATCTTAATTAGGTACTTAAAATGAGTAACATCTTTTTGTTGATATTCATGTAAGTTTTACTTCAGGATGTTGATGTTGTTTTTGTTATTCTTTGATTTTTCTAAATTTAAGGTGGAGGAAAGGCAACTTGGTACAATTGATTGTTTTGATAAGATAATATGTGTAGGCATTATAATCACATAATTTTTCAGTTTTAGAACTAAGTGCTTTCGGGTGTGGTTGCTCACACCTGTAATCCTAGCAGCCCGGGAGTCTGAGGCAGGAGGATTACAAGTTCTAGAGCAGCTTTAGTAATTTAGCGAGATCCTACATAACTTGGTGAGATCCTGTCTCAAAATTAAGGGGGAAAAAAAAAAAGAAAAAAAAAGGAAGAAAGAAAGAAAGAAAGAAAAAGAAGAGCCAAGTGCTGTCTTAGACACTGTATGAAAAAAATAATTTATTTACTTTTCTGGACTATCTCAGGTTATAGTTGATGTTTGGCTATAGTTGTGTCATACTGTGCAACAGCTCATGAAATCAAATATGTGAGCAAATTATATTTAGCCTATGGTAATTAAAATCTTAAAATACTTTTTGTTTAAAATACTTTTAGAACATATCTTAAATTTGGGAGGTTAGATTACTTACCCTTAAAAAAACTATCATTTCTTTAGAGAATTTCTTTTTTTTTGGTACTGGAGATTGAACCTAGGGGCACTTAACCACAGAGCCATATCCCCAGCCCTTAAAA